GCTCGGTACTATAGAAGCCTAAATGAATACCAATAGTATTTAGGGTTTAGGGTTTAGGGTTTAGGGTTTAGGATTTAGGGTTTAGGGTTTAGGGTTAAGGGTTAAGGGTTTAGGGTTTAGGGTTGGGGGGGAGGGGGGTGGGGGCAGAAAAGGATCATCCCTAGAAGCCTTTGGGAGTTTAGGGTTTAGGGTTGGGTTTATTGGAGGCATGTGCAGAGTTTTCGGTATGGACCTGTGCTTGGTTGTTCTGCATTGGGATTCTCCTGGTGGTACGTATCACCGAGGTGGCTGTCCAGGGTTCAACGTCGGAACCAACTAAGATAGGGGCCTTAATAGTTAGAATAGGGTTGGGGAAAAATATACTATAACTATAACAAGGAACCCCCAAAACCCTGTTCTAATTATTCAGGCCCCTACGTCACACCTTTGTGACTGCACATCTGAAACAGACTGAGGTTGATCCTGGTCTTCGTCCGCAGGAGCCCTTTGGACAGCAAAGCATCGGCCATCAGCTAATATAGGGGCCTTAATAATTAGGATAGGGTCTTGGGGGCTCCTTATTATAATTATAGTATAATGGACCCCCAAACCGTGTTCTAATTATTAAGGCCCCTATACTATCGCAGTCGCAACCGCAGTACTCATGATACATGTATTGATGCATTGGTTACCTGTCTCCACTCCTCGTAGTCGTCGTCGTCCTCCTCCTCCTCCTCCTCATTCGCCTCCTTCCCCTCATCAACATTCTTGTCGCCGTCGCCGTCCGAACATTAGCCACCACCATCGTCAGCTTCATCAGAGTATCATGCTGCTGCTATTTTCCGCTTTCTCTCCCACAGAACGAAAATGCCAGGCTTGTTCCCAAAGCTCAGAGCTTGTTGTGACGAACTTGGCCTAGACCCAGTTCTAACGTACCCCACCCTGGCGCGGAGAGACCTGCAGACATGCCTGGCAGCCTCTGCCCAGGCTTTCTGGAGCAGGTCTGCGATGTCCGCACAACGGCGCTTGGCGTCGGTGTAGGAGGCCTGTTTGCGTGCTTCAGGGTAAGACGAAAAGCCGGATGTGGTGGTATTCAGTTAGCAAGCGGTCAAACCGAGGCTGTTTATCTTTTATGCTCAGGGCGAAAATCGCAGCACAACGGCCCGAAACCCGGAACTCCGAACCCTCCTCAGCCCAATATGGGCTTCGGAGCGCACGCAACAGAAAAGGCCCTTAAACACAAAAACAGAACCCTCCTCAGCAGAGAGGGTGTCGGGCAGTGTCGGGGCCTCAGTCTTTAGAATGGAGGGTGCACTTTTTGGAAGATCAGGGGACTTTCGTAAGGGTTTAGGGTTTAGGGTTTAGGGTTTAGGGTTTAGGGTTTAGGGGTTTGGGTTTAGGGTTTAGGGTTTAGGGTTTAGGGTTTAGGGTTTAGTAAGTACGGTTATAAGTGCGTCTAATTGGGGTTATAGCTACAGTTACCTTATTTGTAACTCCAGCTACTAAGTCCCATGATCCTTTAAGCAACCCTGAAAACCACTAAAAGCCTAAAAGCCCTTAAAACCCTAGTAGACTAAGTCCCATGATCCTTCAAGTAGAGCTGGGTTTTTGGCGCTGGGGGTGTAGTTTGTGGAATCTCTGAGAAGCGGAACCCCCCTTGAATGAGGCCCGGGAGCGCTACTATAGGGGCCTGCAGAATTACCGATACTATTTCGGGGGGGTTCCTTACTATGGTTATAATTTAATGGGCCCCAACACCCTACTCTAATTATTAAGGCTTCTACATTAACATGCTTCTATAAGTATCGTAGAATATACCCCAAAACCCTATTCTAATAATTAGGGGCCCTACTATAAAACCCCACTATAGATCCTTGATAGAACCCTTTAAGGAACCCTTCTCTAGTTTTTAAGGCCCCCTACATTACTGTGCCAGTCAGAGTGGAGTTAGCCTCCAGGGCTCCATTTGCGGCTTCTGGAGTCTTTATGGGCTTAGGAAATCGCTAGATCCTCAAACCTTAAGGGCTTACTTGGAGGATCATGGGACTTAGTAAGTAAGGTTATAAGTACCTTAATTGGGGCTATAATTATAGTTACCTCATCTATAACCCTAGTTCCTCCAAGTAGAATTTAGGATCCTCAGACCCTCGGCTGAACTTCTTAAGGGGCCGGAATCAGGTTTCCCGCAGCATCTCTGTCTCCTCAGAAATCGAACATTGAACCCCATGGGCTTTCTTCAGAAGCTCCGAGCCACGAGAATGAACAGAGGATCATTCCTTAGTGCCGGAGTACCTCTACTCTTCGCATGTCCCTAAACCCCTAAACCCCCAAACCCTAAACCCTGAACCCTAAAACCCTAAATCCCAAACCCCAAACCTTACACCCCAATCCCCAAAACCCTAAACCCCTAAACCCTCAAACCCTAAACCCCTAAACCCCTAAAGCCCGAACCCCCAAACCCTAAACCCCTATAAACCTTAAGCCCGAAACCTTATCAGTCCTTCCCGTCTAGACGTACGTTGCCCGAACCCGGAGCGGTTCAAAGCCACCCCGGCACTTCGGATGTCTCTTGTTTTCCTTTTTTGCGCATAAACCCCAAACCCTAAACCTTATAGTTCTCCAAACTCCAAAGCCCAGCCTTCAAACTTTTTGGGCTCTTATATTTTAGTAGGAATCTGAAAGTTTAACCTTTTGTTTTCGTGGCTTACTGGGGAAGTAAGAAACTAGGTATCGATTTGGGATTTGTTTAATTTCCCGCGTTGCTTATTGTCGAGAACTAATTATAAGCAATCCTGGGGATTGTTGACATCGACACCTAGTAAATCTCGTCCCTGAAAAGCCTGAGAGTTCCCATGGAGCTATTTTTACAATATAGGGTTTAGGATTTAGGATTTAGGACGTGTTCACATGTTCAGGGGCCCCTGTGTAAGTCAAGACAGAGAGGACATTGTGACATGCATGCGGCAAAGATAGATCACGCGAGATGGGGTAGTCCTACCGGAGTCCTAAGCCCTGAACCCTGAACCCTAAACCCTACCCCTAAGCAGACCAGTGTCCAGGACTTAGTGGTGGAGCCTTTGCCGAACCTCAGCGACACGGAGTGGGCTCCTTGACTGAAGTTGGAGCAAGGGTATAATGAAAAGATCAACCTGCATGATTTGAATGCGCACTTTCATGAACCGTCAACCCTAAAGCCTAAACCCGAAACCCGAAACCCGAAACCCAAAACTCGAAACCCTAACCCCGAAACCCGAAACCCTAAACCCGAAACCCTAAACCCTAAGCCCTTTACTTCTTAACGCCCCGACACGCGCAGCCCTTTGGCCTCCTGGTCAGCAAGCGTCGAGTTTGGGGGGGGCGGGTTTGAATTCGTCACAAGGAAGAGGGTTTAGGGTTTAGAGTTTAGGATTTCGGGGTTTAGGGGTTTAGGGTTTGGGGATTTTGAAGGCGTCGCAAAGAAGTAATATAGGGGTCTAAATGATTACCTATACTGTTTCTGGGCGTTCCTTACTCGAGTTATAGTATACACTCAAACCCTGTTCTAATCATTAAAGCCCCTATATTATAGGTTTCTCCTTATGGTTTTTCGGGTTTAGGTGTTAGGGCACCTTAACCAGACCCGACAACCAGTATTGGACGCGATAGGCAGACGGAAGGGAACAAATAATGGCAAAGCTAATTATAAGGTTTCTGGATACCCAAACCGAAACCTCAAGCCCTAAACCCTGAAAACCCGTTAACCCCCAAGCTCTTTACGATGAGTCAAGAGAGATGTCCGAAAGTCGGAAAAGAGCCGCTCGACGACATCCACAAACTTGAGCAGGAAGGTTTTAGTTTAACTCAGTGGCAACATCCCCGTACAGTACAGCAGTGTCTAAATAGTTACAACCCTACAAACTAGAGGTTTAAAAGATGGTGTAAATATGACGGCCCATGTTCTCATACATAAACCCTAAACCCTAAGCCCTGAACAATAAACCCTAGACCCTAAACCGCGAAGCCTTGGGAGGTGCAACTGGGAGACATCTCATACTGTGCTGCGACGGGGCCGACCCATCTGCGGGAAGACCTGGTGGATAGAGAGGCCCCGCTAGTGGCAAAGCCTAAACTAAAATGTAGGGGCCTTAACAATTAGAATAGGGTTTTTTGGGGTTCCTTATTATGATTATAGTATATAATATACCCCAAACCCTATTCTAATAATTAAGGCCCCTATATAAGGAGGCCGTTGTGGTTGCAGTAGGGTTTAGGGTTTAGGGTTGTAGTTCTCTAAAGCAGGGTCCCCTTTAGGGTCCGGTTTGTAAGGGTGCCTCCTTCTTTTGTGATCCGAAAAGGCGACCTACCTCTATGACTGATGGGTTTTAGATAATTACAAGACCAGTGCTATTCCTTCGAACTCCTCTAATTTTACCATACCCCGACGCCTATCAGCCTATTGAGACCCCTCTATTGGGGTTCGGATTCAGTACAGGATGTAAAACAGTGGTAGTACTTCACATTGTTTTAGCACGATGGGTATCCGTGGATGTAGTAAGGGCTCCAGAAGGTCCATCTGTGAATCAAGTATAGGGGGGTCCCGATACGGTCGCTTTGGGGCCTTATAAGTCTATCTATACTATACCTCAGGCCCCCGCGGAACCTTCGGAAAGTTCAGTGTTTACAAGGCTCGACATGGACCACGTACCTGTCAGAAGATTCCGATATCAGGTTGGTAATGTGGGTTTCAGAGTTCGTAGATCCGATAATGGAAGGGGGGGTCTGAGAGTCTTCGTGCAGAGAGTTGGTTTAGTGTAGGTTTTTCGGCAGGACCCCAAGACCCTAAGCCCTAGCATCCTGGAACACGTGCTAGTGAGTGGTATCTCCTCATAGTCTTCTAAACCCTAAACTCTAAACCCTTAACCCTCATCCCCTTATAGTCCCCAGTATACTTATCAACTTATCACCTTAAACCTGTTCATCATTGATGTCCCTACAGTCTCCTGCTTGGAGAACGGGTTCAGTCTCAGGGGCTGTAACATAGTCTTTTAGAGGCCTGAATAATTAGTGACCTAAAACCTATATTATTTGGGGGGTTCCTGATTAGAGTTGTAGTATAATATGCACCCAAGCCCTAGTCTACTTATATTGGGGTAGGGTTTAGGAGTTCGAGTTCAGGCTTTAGGGTTTAGAGTTCAGGGCCAAGTTCTTGGGGGGTATTTTTGGGTCTGTAGGTTTTGGGCCTCAAATCCCGAATCCTATCAAGCCAAGTTAAGGCCCTAACAGAACTCTTACATCTACACCCGATCAGAGCATGTAAAGCCTTACAGGACCTTTCTACCCACCCCCACTTGAGACCAGTTTAAAACTTAGCTGCCCGAGGATTCCATAGGCAGGAGCAGATAAAGGATCCTTCAGTCAAGGACTATTCCTTCACCAGTCCCTAAAGAGCTCTCAAACAGACTGCTGAGGTCTTGGTGCAGTGTTGGTCAAGATACTCCTCATGCAACCTATAGTGAACTGGATCAATACGTATCTCCCATATAGCCCAGGAATGTATGTATATATATATATATTCATATATATACACATACATATACATGCATATGTATATATATATATATATATACATACAGACATGTTCGTATCTGTACCTATAAATATATATATATATATATATATATGCTTTGCTGCATATATATATATATATATATACATATACATACACTTATATGTATGTTGTGAATACTTACTTACAAACATTCACTGCAACATCCCCCAGTTCTTTGTCAGGTCTTTAGAAGTAGCTTGTTGGTTTGAAAAGCTTTGCGGCCTCTGGGTTCATCGGGTCCTTTCAGTCCTAGAGTTCCTTGTCATAAGCATGCGATACTATGCACCACCACCCCCCCAAGTGCCATGTTCTTGTGATTCAGGCCTTTATACTTAAGAGAGGGGCCTAAGATTACTACCGCTATTTTTCCTTGGGGCTCCAGAAGCCCCAACCTCTAAACCCAAAGTCCTGACCCAAAACCCTAGCAGACAGAACTATACGAGAACATGCCCTAAGCCCTAAACCCGGTTCTACTTGTTAATATAGGGGCCTGAATAAGTACCTATACTATTTTGGGGGTTGCTCATTATAACTATAGTATAGTATACCCCAAAACCCTATTCTAATTATTAAGGCCCCTACATTAAGCCCACCCGTAGGTAAACCATAAACCCTAAGCCCTAAGCACTAAACCCTAAACCCTAAGACCTAAACCCTAAACCCTAAACCCTACACCCCACACCCTCAACCCTAAACCCTAGCCCTAACCCCAAAACCCTAAACCCTAAACCCTAAACCCTCAACCTAAGCCCTGCACGACTTCAGGTCGACCTTGGTTGGGGAGGTGACTGCCCCTGTCTCGTCTGCAGCGGCCTGCGGTGAAGAAAAAGAGCCGAGTGCTCCGCTGCTGCTTAGGGTTTAGGAACTTTAGGGCTTTAGGAACTTCAGGGTTTAAGGGTTTAATTAGGGGTTTAGGAACTTTAGGAACTGTAGGGTTTATTTAGGGTCTAGGGTTTAGGGGTTAGGTGTTAGGGTTTTATGTTCAGGAGTTAGGGTTTTGGGTTCTATGTTCAGGATTTAGGATTTAAGGGGGCTTTATGTTCAGAATTCAGGTTTTAGGCATTAGGGTTCCATCTTCAGGATCTAGGGTATAGGGTTTTATGTTCAGGGTTTAGAGTTCAGGGTTTAGGCATGTATGTTCAGTGCGTACGGTTCGGCTTTAACGTAATTGTGAAGCCTACGATGAGGCCTCCGTGTCGGGGAATTCCTCAACCCCTTCGAACTCCATAAGATCGGCGCCTAAATAATTACTAATGCCATTGTGGGGGGGGGGGGGGGTTCCTTACTATTGCAACTCTAGTATGATATACTCGAAACCCCTATTCAAATTATTAAGCCTCAACTACTACGCCAGAACTTCCTGGGCATTTCTTTCTCTGATCAAGATGCCAGACCCTGCTTCTCAGAAGCAAGGTGCCTGCGACGTTGTTCGTTTGAGGTTTCGGGCCTCAACACCCCCACAAGCCAGGAATTCCCTCGCTCTCCCGCCCCCTCAAGCAAATAGATATGTTCGGGTCTTTGTTGCTCAAGTTGCAGTGCTGGGTGTCTTTTTGTGTCGGAGTAGGGCTGAAACAGCACACCACTCAAGCTCATGGCTTCCCTAAACCCTAAATCCTATCTTTAGATAAACTGGCTGTCTAAGGGGTTATCGGGAAACTCCTCTGGCTAAGTCTCGACATCCCTGCGCCAAGGGCTTTCCGCTGGATGTGGCCACAGCTTTGGGCCCAATTCAGGGTGCTTTGTGCAACGCCGGATTCGGCATAACCTGGTATCTAGTTTGTGCTAGCCTTGCTCATTTGGCTTTATAAGGGCTTGGAGCGTTGCTTGTCGTGTCGGCTTTGGTGCTTGGTGTAGCAAGTGTAGTCTGGTTTATGTGTCGGATTTGGATTTGGTTTTGGGCTAGGGTTTAGGGTTTAGGGTCAGGCGAGTCAGGGCGAATTTTGTGTTCATTTTGTACTGACGGTATGTGAGGGCTCTTTGTGAATGTATGCAGACGGCATTCCTCGAAGCACTCGGATCGCAGGCTCCCCAGATTCTGGCATGTGATATTGTTTGGGTACCGGCCCGCCCTCCCACTCTGCAGCAGTTGGAGATATAATATATGTATATAATCTGATTATGTATAGCCGGACTGTGTAGCCCTTAGTATTGCCCCTGCGCCCCTTAGACCGTTGCAGGGTGGGCGCAGTAGCCAAGATATTGTTAAAAGTAAGCAGTCAATGAGCCCAAAAGGGCACCCTAAACCCTGAACTTTAATGAAACCCTAAACCCCAATCCGAAAACCCTAAAGCAGTCACGGCCATAGAACAAGCTGTGGAAGATAATGTAGGGTGGTGGGGGTCCTAAGATCTAAAGCCTCAAAATACAAGCCTCCTCCAACAGAGAGGTAGAGGATGATACTTACATAGTGTAGGCCTTGTCATTGTGTAAGCATGGTATAGCAACCCATGCTGCATGTGACTGGGCGTCTGGGGCATCTATACCGGGGGACACTCACACATGCCCAAAATCGCTGACCTCAAGCATCTTGACAACCCCAAAGCGCCCAACAGAGCAGACGCGATGTGGCATGAGGCCCCAAAAAACAGTAAATCCGAAACCCTTAAGCCGACCAACAACAAACCCCTAAACCCTAAGGGTTTAGGGTGGAGGGTTTTAGGGTTTAGGGTTTCGGGATCGGGTCGCTGAGTTTATCCTGCGCGTCGCCGTCATCGATCGGGCCAACGAGCTCGCCTGGAACTTAAGTGTGGAGGTTGTACAGGGCATGCATGTAGCACATGTAGGTATGTATGCGTATATTCTGTATGCACACATATACATGTATGTATGTATATACTTTTAAGAAAAAGATATATACAGATTTTCCAGATAGTCAGATATCGGCAGTACACAGATGTGTACGGACGGTACGTGTATACACGTTTAGGAGATCAATCGTTTGGTCGAGTTTGCGGCGTTCTCCTTACGGCAGCATCAACGGCCCCATCCGCCGTTGAAGGGCCGGAGATTCCGGTTTGGAGGGCACGTATAAAGCTCCGCGTTTTTTGGGTTTACGGTCTACCCTGAGGCTCCTAAGAGGGTCTTGGGGTTTCTGGGAGAGGGTTTCGTCTTTGGGGGCTAGGATTTGGGATCTCACTACAAGGGTCCAGGGGCTTTGGGGTAGAGACACGAATATCGTGGCATAGTGGTAAAGGCTGATCCCTCTAAGCTGAATCACTTTAATCCCTAAACCCTGAACCCTTGACATGTCTTGCCCGATACCTCCAATAGCATATGTACGAGATCATACCCAGAGCCTTTCCAGTCCGAGGTATCCTTCGGAAATTGGTTTTGCAAATCTTGACAACTGTAACATTTTTACAGATGCTCTGGACCCTTGAAGACATGGCAAAGCCTCCATAAAACTGTGAAAGCAATTTCTCAAAACCCGCAGCACCTAAACCCGTAGAACAACTCGCAAACAACCCTTCCAAAACTTCTAGTCTTAAACCTTAAACCCCAAACCCTAAACCCCTAAACCCCAAACCCTAAACCCTAGCCCTAAACCCCTAAACCCAAAACCCTAAGTCCCCTAAACGCTAAGTCCCCTAAAACCTAGACCCCCCCACCTCCGGGCTGCTAGACTTCCCGGGACTGTCGAAAGTTCTCCGCTCTTGGGCCTGGTAGCTCAGTAGGTAACCTGTAACCTTTTGGGGTCTATATAATCCTACCATGAAAAGGTTAACCTTTTTATACTCAGCCCCTAAGTGGGCCTCCAGGCCGGGCGCCGGAAAGCCGGAAAGACGACGATGCACGCCGCTCTTTTCGAACAGGGTTTAGGGGCTTAGAGTTTAGGGGGTTTGGGTTGCGGGGTGAGGGGTTTAGGGTTTAGGGGTGTGGGTTTAGGGTTTAGGGTTTAGGAGGGTCCTGTTAGGGTTTAGTTTAGGGTTTAGGGTTCAGGGGCGTCCTGTAGGGTTTAGGGTATAGTGGCATTTCTAGACAGAAGCCAGGCCAGTGGGTCATGTTTTGAACACATGGGTCCTCATATGATTAGGTTTAGGGTGCCATAGGGCGGCCCCTTTGAGATTGGTATCTGGGTTTAGGGTTTAGGGTCCTTGGAAAAGAAGGGTAACTAATCTACCTTTTGGAAAACATGGGTCCGGGTTGGGGTTATGAGGTTTGGGGTCTAGGGCTTTTGGTTTGAGTTTGGGGGTTGGCGTCCTCGGAACACGATCCTAACTTAAAGTAGTGGCTCTCGATACCCTTCCAGCGCGCTCTTCGGTGGTTATGGCTGGGGATTTGAACACTGGGATGGACCCACTTTCTCCCTGTTGTCTACGTACTTTTCTGGCTGCGGCATTGCATCGCATGTATTAGTAAAGTACCACAAGTAGTTGAGGAAAGACTTACATTCAAACATAAGAAGAAACATGCATATACAAGTAAGTATATAAGCATACTGATGAATATGATATTCGTATATGTATATAAATAATGCCTAGCTAGTTTGGTAGATGAACAGCTAGTTGAATATTTGTTTGTGTCTGTATATACACGTACATAAATATTATATATATATATATAAGTGTGTATATATAT